TTAAAAACGCCAAAATTACACAAATATTTGGTCATCCGGACACAGCGTCCGGATGGCCATACATTTTTTTTGTAAATTTTGATGTTTTCAAATGGTTGTATCTTGCTTGCTATTGGGTTTCTTTGCACCAAACTTGGGGATTTCGTAAATTTCGGTGTATTGCACTTTATGATTATGTGGATCAATAGCTGCTAATCCCATAATTTGTAGACTCGTACCTAGTCCTTTTCGGCTTGAAATCAGGCAATGACAGACGTTTTAACTTCTGTGTAAAAATGAAAATGAAGCGTTTCAAGATATTTCAATCAAAACGTTTTCCCATTCTCGAAAGAGAGACCAGAAGCTGTTTAAGGCTCTAGGCTCGTACGGAATGGTAAAAGGACTGGTTACTGAAAGAAACAAAAAACACTAAGAAAGAAAAGAGCTGGACTTAATTCGAAATTGATCGACATCAAATTTAATATCAACATCTTTATAAAGTCTATCATAATAACATACCGCAAGAAAAGTCAAAGTATTCTTGAAATATATAATTTAAAGTCTTTGAACAGCCCAAAGTCAGGAAATTTTGGAATTGGAAAGGTTTCCTTCTAAGTGGACGTGTGTTCCGTTTAGAAGCATTTACGATGAACAATGGAAGGACCAGATTCATCGTATTCTTGCTTAGAAATCCACATCTGTTGGAAGGTGGACAGCGAGGCTAAGATAGATCCTCCGATCCATACAGAGTATTTGCGCTCAGGAGGAGCAATGATCTTGATCTTCATTGTGGGTGGAGCCAGAGCAGTGATTTCTTTCTGCATTCTGTCAGCGATTCCTGGGAACATGGTGGAGCCACCAGACAACACTGTGTTGNGGAAAGAGGGCTGGAACATGGCCTCGGGACATCTGAAGCGCTCGTTGCCAATGGTGATGACCTGACCGTCAGGAAGCTCGTAGTTCTTCTCCAAGCTGGAGCTGGAAGCAGCAGTCTGCATTTCTTGCTCGAAGTCGAGAGCAACATAGCAAAGTTTTTCTTTGATGTCACGCACGATCTCACGCTCGGCTGTGGTAGTGAAGGAGTAGCCACGCTCGGTCAGAATCTTCATGAGGTAGTCTGTCAAGTCCCTGCCGGCCAAGTCAAGACGAAGGATGGCATGGGGAAGGGCGTAGCCTTCGTAGATGGGAACTGTGTGACTGACCCCGTCACCGCTGTCCATAACAATACCAGTTGTACGACCAGAGGCGTAGAGAGACAACACAGCCTGGATAGCCACGTACATGGCTGGCGAGTTGAAAGTCTCGAACATGATCTGGTGAAAAAGAGATAGGAGCGTGGTCACTTCACATGAAAACTAGTCACCAGACTACTTAAATGGTGCGTTTTCCCACTTTTTCTCGTGGCGTGCATCACTTTCTTGAGGCTGAGATCCCGAGATCCTGTTCGTTCCTTTGAACTTAAGCTTTCAGTTCATCAAAGATATAACCTCGCACTGCCTGAAGATGAAAGGAC